ATAAATACATGATTTTTGCCTCTTTCTGCCCTGTAGTCACTAAGAGGACCTTTCAATAATACCCATCAAGAATTCAACCATGCCCACAATGGGGTGGCTAGCAGAGAGGGGTTGACATATCCAAGAGAGAGCAATCTCCAAATATTCTTGACGTTTCTTGACTGAAGTGTTCTGTTCAGTAACTCAGCTGGCAGAGAAGGAAAGAAAAAAAAAAAACACATTTCTAACATTGTCTGAATAAAAGATGGAAGCTGTAAATCAAACAAGTAAAATATGTATGAGTAGTACTGTTAGTGGACCAACCATATCATTTAAATCCAACCAAGAACACAATTCAGAATCAGTAAAAATAGGGTCTAAAACTGTGATTGAACTTTGGTTATTTTTTAAAATTAATTAATTTATTGATCTATAAATTGGTGATATTATATTGGCACATTAATAAAATTTCTCTATACAAAGATTGATTCTACAATCAAATATTAAAAATAGACAAAAGTGGAGACAGTATTCGGGGACATCTAGTCACCGTATCGTTAGCCACTGAGATTGGAGGATTAGAAGTGTGTTCTTTCAACTTGATAGTGTTTGTTTGTTTAGTTAAGTTATGGCAACACAACACTTGGGCGATCTGCCTAGGGTGTATGCCTTCCGATACGTTCTTTTAAGGGTAATTGGCCCCTATTCAGGCATTACAGACATAGAGAAAACCTGGAAAACACGTGGCAGCCCATCCTGGCAAAGCACGAACCCACAACCAAACTCCCAGTGTTCAGGACGTGGAACTACTTGGTCACTGGTGGGCTCGACTCAGTAGTGCCAGCTGTTAACAGAATCTCCCATTCAAGGTACAGAACACAGCTCCAGTTTCAATCCAGATTTGTGTTTTCAAACCATTTCACCATCCTGCTGCTCTAGACATCCTCAAAATTTAATCAGCAGTTTCAGCATCATTACGGGCACAGCCAAACCTCCTAAGAAGAAAATACCTTAACGTCCGCAGAGCACAAACGATTAAGTACATACCACGCGTAAACCACAAGTACACACAGAGAATCTCTCCTCCAATCGGTGATCGCCCAGATCGGAAACGCATTAGATTCAAATATTCAAACGGCGCGGCTCCATTTTTCAATTCTACAGCCCGACGACTTCCGAAAAGGTGAAGTTTATTGCCGGTTTCTTGTCTTCCGCGTAGGTTGATTAAAATATATACATAAAGAGCACATTTTAGAGGCATAATTTCATATTTAAGACAACAAAAACAGCATTTATAACGAATAATTAGCCATTGGTTTCTGGTATGAAATATCAAATTAAACTTTGATACTGTTTATTTATGGATAGTTTATTTGATGAACAAATAAACCAGAACAAAATAACATGGTAAAAGTCCACACAATCTTTACCTATTTATAATCATAAACTGCGCAGTATTTTGTGTATAAAGCAAGTATAGAATTGTGTTTAATAGTGGAATATAATGTGAAATCATTTGTATACTTGCTTCTAAAATATCGAATTGTACTTACAAAAAAACGCTCTAAATGCATGTATACGAGTAAATAAAGCTTATAATTTTTATTTTATAACATTCCCCAGCTTCTACGTATCATTTTAATAACGAAACCGAGCATAGAAAAATAATATCTCATAGAATAACTTTTCATTCAATTTCCTACTCACCTGCATCGACGCCATCTTTGCTCACTAAGTCAACAAACAATGTTGGAAGAAGTAATTACATAAACTTAAATATAAGATTGAATTGTTATAAATTTTAAAAATATATATTAATTTACAAACGGTTAACGTCTGGACCTTATATTTATTAATTTAACGTCATTAAACTTTCGTCTGCTTCTCAGTTCATTTTTTAACCGATAGGGATCTTTGACGTAAAGATATTGAGAAATAACAAAATCATAAAGAAAATTAAAATGAATTATTTAATTAAATAAACGGAAAATTTTTTTAATGTTTTATTATTAATAATAATTACACCAGATGTATTAATTAGTAATTATAATTTATACAAGTTAACATATTTTAATATTATTATTTAATTTTGTTTTTTTAAGGTGTCGCTAAGGACGAAAGTGTCGTCTGCTTTTTAGGGTTAGAGTGTCTTGTGGAAAATGTCTGTGAAATTATGGTTTAATTTATCGTTTTGACAGGGGAATGAAAGTAAATTGTTAGAATTATGATTAAAATTAAGAATTTAGCTACTTTATTTCTTACTTTTGTAATTTTGTACGCGATATACACGTATCATGTGAATTATAACAAGTCAAAGGTCGTCAATCTGAAGAAAGTTTTAGAAATTTCCATTCGAATTGCCGAAATGGGGGGAGATCAAGTGCGTAAAGTAAAGCAGAAGCATCAGTTAAGACAATGGAGTAAAGGGAAAACAAAAGAGGGGATCAATGATCCTTTAACCGAAGGAGACATTAAATCTCATGAAACTATGGTCTATGGATTTAAAAAGGTCTTCCCTGATGTTAAGGTAACAGTTAATGACTTATTATTATTATTGTTAATAAACCTGAATGTTGAAATGATCAGAATTTATATTAATCTTTCAATGTTTTGATACTAATTACAGGTACAAATGTAGCTCTGAATGAGTCGGTTGGGATCTTAGAGCCGTAGACTGTGTTAATATGAGTTGAGTCAATTCAAGCTCTGAATGAGACAGTTGGAACCTTATCGGAGCTGTAGAGCATCGAAAAAGTCAAAGGAACCGTATGTCCCGTTGCCAGTTACGGCCCCCAAAATTAGATCGTGCAAGATTGCGAGCTTCATCACTTCACTAAGACTATCGTGTTTAACTATTTAGCCTATGAGACTATTCCAGCTTTGAGTAGCCCACTTGACTGTTCGTGAAGACGATGTTATGTACTGTTGCCCCACTCGGGAACTTGTGCATTTGCTGTCGTTTGCACCAAAGCATGTGACAACACGGAGCACGGGGAATAGGCAATATCCTGATACATGTTAAAAACTGGCCTTTGGAGGCGAAATCTCGCAAAGGGTTGCACGTACGGGTATCATTTCTGTAACTTTTTTGCTTGTATAGGGGGTCTACAATTCTCAGGGGTGTGAAACCTCTCATTCAGAGCTTGAACTTTACCGATATATCCTCCTCGAAATTGGCCTATCTGGAATTTTGGAGACTCGAAAATGGAGTAAAGTTACAGATAAAAACTCTCTAATTTTGGAATTCTCCCAGAAGAGTGATGAAACTCTGGAAATAAATGCTTTTGGTCTATGTCTAAAACCTGTTTTGGGTTATAATTTTTGCAGAACTTTCATTACTCTGCTGGGAGAATTTTAAGGTTAGAGAGTTTTTAATTTATATATTATTGCACAGTGCTTTGGAGTAAAATATTTAAGCAGGAACCATTTCTCAAAACAATGCTAAAATCCATTCAGCTTTACTAGAGATGGCTGGAAACTTGTAAAACACGAGAAATGCTGTTGCGCCAATTACTTCTTGGGGTGCAATTGAAACTGTGCTGTGCACTCCATTAAGCCCGTCGGCATGAAAACTTGGAGGTAAATATCTTGCAGATGATGCTTAGATATAGATTGGTTCCTTTCGTCATGGGTGTAAAATTTGGGAGGGGGTCCAAACCACTCATTCATAACTGCAATTTTACCCTAATTTTATACTAATATCTAATTCTTTGAAGAATTGATCAAGCTTGATGTTATATGAAAAGGTAATGTTGCTAATAAGTAAATTTCGAGTGCGTGTTTTGCTTTTGCCTAATGGTATATATGCACTATATACAAGAAATACTGTAAATGCTGCCAGTAGTGTAATCAGAGAGGGGTTCAGGGAGCCTGAGGCCACTTTATAAATAAAGAAAAGATACGTGTACAGGAAGAAAATTTAAATGTGATAAATGCAATTAAGTGTATACAATATCTAAGAGTTTACTCTTTATCCACAGTGCTAATGGCTACAATAGAGGTAGCCAGAGCAGTCGATATTGATCCCAATAGAGATTTAAGGAATCATTGAAGAGTTCGGCAATGAAAAAAATTTGAGGACCTGCCAGGCTGAATCTGTAGTGCTGCAGGGGTGAACACAAGTTTATACATTCTAATTCAGGCTCTGTTCTAATATCTGTTCCAGTTATGCTAGTTAATGCTGCTTTTTTTATTTTTAAGTTTGCCACAGTTTTTTAAACTTGAAAGCCAAGCTATATTTTCACACAAAATGTCTCTAAATTTGGTAAAAACACTTGATTTAACTTCTCAAGTTAATTGATAGTGATGTTAACAAAAAGTATCTTAATTTAACATTACATAAATATTTTCAAACTCTTCGAACTTTATCTTCAAATTTTAGAGGACTTTACACTTTAATAAAGAAATCTTTATATATTTAAAAATGTCAAGAGACAATTGGTTCATCTTTGGCAGAATAAGGCTTTAAAGGATAAGATTCTGCTTCAGAATGAGGTGGTTTTATGCCTTATCAAAGCTGTAGAGCTTTGATAAGGCCCAACCACCTCATTTAGAGTTAGAATCTTATTCTTTTAAGCACGTATTTAAAGACTACGCTATTAAAGCATAATTTCATTAGAAATTTGTGTAAAGTTAAATTAAGATTTCTTCATTTATTTAAAAAACTTTTCACTTGTTTTCAAGCTATAATTTATTTTTAGTACTATATCTGTTTTTTTTTCTTTTTTGGCTTTAATAATAATATATCAATATTAATGAACATATTTTTGTGTGAATTATTATGAAACAGAAATAATAAAAATGTAGGTTACAATGTGCAGAATATGCTCTGTTTATTGTGACCTACATTTTTAATTTATTAGCAAATAAATACAATTTTATATTGTATGTTTAGACTATTTTATTAAATTTTTATTGTTATAACCGATGATAAATGAATTTGTTGGGCTGTAATTCGAAAAACTGTAGATCTATAAATTCCCACTGTCGTCCGTCTGTTTGTCTGTCTTTCCTTAATCTCAAGAATGGTATTAGATAAACAAAATTTAAGACCAGATATGGAACATTACTGTGCAGTGAGAAATCTACAATAATATTAAAGTTATAAGTACAGCATTGCATATGAGGCTACATATTTACATATACATTGTACAAATAAATATTGCACTTAAAACTTCATTTTTATTAAAACTTTACTTAAACCTTTTTCACCACACAATAGCTTATCAGATACCTTGTACAATGTTGATAATACACATCACACCATAGCATTTTTAGTTTCTTCTGTATAAAAAGACTAAAAAATAATGTTTTAAATTTGTGTTTTCTTCTTATAAAGAAGACATGAATTTAAAACATTATTCTTAGATTCAATTTCAATATTTTGAATGTAAACTTTTGTCAACTTTTGAAATTTATTCAGTACTACATGATGCATGTATTTGGAGGACCATATCTTTGAAGAGTTTTCTGTGGATCCATGTTTTTATTTGGATTTTTGTACCCCACAAACCTAGTATGACACTCCTGCATGAGGGATATCTCTTTCTTTTCCTCTTCCCTAATGGTTCTAGAATAAAATCATATCTTTTTTATATTAAAATATAAATTGGAGGAAAGTGACGTGTTTGAGAAAGACCAAATGAAGTAGAATTGTGGCATCGAAGATTTTGAATCATTAGACAATGAATAAAATGTTTTTGCTGCCTGGATTCACTCTCCAGTCCTCCAAAATGGTGGTGTGATCTCTTAACTGTCTTAGCCATTCAAATATAACCTCTGTCAATGTCACTGTCTTGATTTTGTCAAACTTATGTTCTCTTTCACCTGTATATTTTCGGCTGCTGTCAGCAGCCAACAAACAGTTGCCACAGGTGAATATAGTTTGTGGCTGACTGCCAACTGCACGAATCAAATGGAAAAATGGTAGGTTCATCAGAAATGGCATATGCAGCAGATGAATCAAGTCAATCTATTGAAGATAAAAGAAAATTGCTGCAGGAATGACTTTAAAGCATCATATCAGTTATTTTCCTTCCTTGGCTCATCTTCCAAAAGCTGTAAAAGATGAACATATACTGTATATCTGAAATTGTTCTAAGCATATAAAGATTTTTACTATTAATCCTTAAAAATTCACAAACCTATGGCACTCCTTTATTTACAACCTTACACAGATGCAGATATTTATAGAGATATATTAAAACATTATTTCAAATATCTTGCTATAATATTTTTGCAGAATTTAATTATTGAACAAAAGTACATATTATAGATAAAATACTGTATACATTTTGTCTGTCTGCGTGTGTGTACTTGTATATGTTGAAACAACCAAACAACCAACATAATGTATATATGCTGTGGAGTTGGAGTTGAAACAAATTTATTGCTACAGGAGACAGAATCAGTAAAACGGACCAACTCTGATTCCAACTCCTGTTTTTTTATTTCATAATTTATATTATGTTTCTAATAAGAGAGTTAACCTCCTGTATTTCTTGATCTTATTTTATGATGTACTTAATACATATCACTAATTACTGATGATTTTACATAACAATAACAGCCTTTGCAAGAATTTGTCTATGCTGGTGCATTGTGCAATAGCAATATACTGAGAGACAGCTTGTCTTGTCATTTTTCTTTAATAGAATCTATTGATTGATGCATTAAAAAAAGCCTATTTTCTGGTAATAGTAGTATTGCATGCCTTGAAATCAATCAGAAGAATCCCCTCAGAATCTCAAAAATTCATGGCCATGATTTTCTTTTGCCTTCCTGGGCCTTAGAGAACCAAGATGATGCCATTTCATAGATTTTCTTTTTGATAGAGGATTATGATACAGAACTCTAATAACAATTAATTCAAAAATTTCTCTTACTTGCCCTTTACAAAGTGATAAAAACTCTCTGCAACAACTATTTTGCCATTCATTTTTAACTGGAGAAAGAAGTTTCATCAGCAATCTTGCACTGACTTTATTTGTATTATGGTGTTTGTGTAAAATCAGCAGCACTGTGGTTTTTGATACAGCATAGCTCACTGCCAATTCCTTGGCCTTTAGCTACCTGTCTTCCACAGCTTATTTCTTCACAATATTGATGTTTTCTTCTGTAGGCTTTCCTTGGTATGGTTTGTATTCAATGGACTCTCTTCCTAATTGGAATTGTTTTGCCCATTCTTTTATAGATGAACACAAAGGAGAAGAGTCTCCGTAAACAACATCTAGTTGATCTTTAATCTCTTTCTGTCTTTTGTTAAAAATTTAATCACATCTCAATACTCAATTTTGTTATTGCTGTGATATCAGTTTATAATTACAATAAATTAGTATATAACCAACCTCATTTCATAACTTGCAACCCGTTTAAACTTGTCTTTTAAGTACACACAATTTGCAGGTTATATGCACAGAAATACAGTAAAAAATACATCTAAAAATTTCAGCTGCAAGATATATTATGGTAACAATGTTGCCAAGTATCTTATTTTTAAGATAGCTTTGTTTTTGCTAAACATTTGACTGAAATTCATTGATACTTCCATCTAAATAGCACATATTTATAAAAGTTAAATTTTATTATTTGTAATTTATCATATATCATGACCAATACATCTTTAACAGTTGAGAGAAGGTTGGAGAAACACTAATCCTTTTGACCTAATTAATGGATTATCTTTAGTCCTCTTAACTAGGAAAGGCAGATAGCCAAAATCATCTCCTACCCTTTCCGTGACAATATAATAAAGTGCAAAATCTTTAATAACAGTGTTACTGATATGTATTTAAACAGCTGGTACAAGGACTTGGGAAAGGAGACAGAAGAGTTTTCTATATATTATAGCAATGAGTGATCTATGACAGAGTATATACCAGTAGCTGTTTCAAAAAAACCTCATTGAGGTCTCATTTCAGCATTTACTAGATAATATAGTAGTCTGTTTGGATCATAAAATTTTATCCATTAATGTTCAACAGCTATCCAAGGAGAGAGATTCATACAAAGGAGAGACAAATTTATCACTGCCAGAAAGACATAAGTGTTATATGTTGTTTACTGCACTATTGAGACGACTAGTAATCTTAATGTATTATTTATTACAACAAGTAAACACGTTACAAGAGGAGACACACGTGACGTGCTCTTTGGCTCACGATGGACTACTGGCTGCTAGTGTCGCCACTAATACATACTGTATCATAACACTAAGATGGGATTATATATTTGAAGTTTACAGAATTTAGATGGATTTTGCTGATTGAAGATTTTGTTCCATAAAAGAATTTTTTATGAATAAAATGCATTTAAACTTCCTGTTTGCATACAGTAAAAAACTTTTTCAGAAAATATTTACAGATTATTTTGATGTTCCTTTAAAGGAGCATTTAGATTTATGTTTAAACATAACATTATAGTAAATTTAGAAAGTTTTAAATTATAAGTAGGAAAATTTATGATTTTACATACCCATCAGTAACCAAAAGGATAAAACACTCAAGCATTCAAACACTGAAAGTCGATGGTTGATTCACATCTCACTAATGGGCTGGCCATTTGAGTTTTTAGGGTTTTCTTTGTGTCTAACACCTAAATAAGAACCAGTTTATGTAGAAAGTCTTCCTGTCAGGTACTCTCCTCTTGGCAACATTCAGGCAACTTGCGTAAATGTTGTGTTGGCATATTCTGTCAGTCCAATCTGATTATAATTTTACACTTGATTTATTTACAGTATTTAGATATTATATTTGTCAAAAAGTCACTTTCTGGCTGATTTAGCAACCAATAATTTATGAAATTTAATAATTGATTCCCACGCTTGCTATTTGGCCAAATACCGAATTCTTACTTTGTGGCCAAATATACTACAGGTAACCCCCGTATAACACGGCACTTCTATAGCACGGATTCGCTCTAACACGGTTCGAGAATTGGTACCATCCCCCGTATAACACGGATTCGCTCTGACACGGTTCGCGAATTGGGTAAAACCCTCGTACAACAGGAAATATAATAAATTTTTACATACTTAAGTAATAATAGTTCACGAAAATTATTATTTTCGTGAACTATTAGTACTTAAGTATGTAAATTTTCTCTTCTCACCTTCTGTCGATACACGTGGTCCTTCTCGAAACTTGTTTCAATGTTGCCAGATCGCGACGCTTCTGCTTCTGATATTGCTGAATGTTTTTCCCTTATTCCATACTTGCTTTATTCTTCATAAGTGCTTAGCACCATATAAGGAAATTTATAAAGACCTTTTAACTAGAAGCAAGCAATCTAAAATTACATACATTTTGCAAAAGGTAAAGCATGGATCTGAAGATAATGCAGAAAAATGTTCAGAGGATGAGGATAACTTGCCAAAAAGAAAACCCTCTCGGTTAATTAATAGTGTTTTTAGTGATGACGAAGAAAATATTGTTTAATTTATATTAATATGTATCACTTTAAAATTTTTAATGAAGATATTTATCTTAATTATGAAAATATACTAGCATGTTTTTTAATTTTTGGAACCTAACCCTCCTTTTCGTGTTAGTTCTTTGTTTCGTATAACACGAATTCGCATAACACGGCAATTTTTTGGAACGTAACTACCGTGTTATACGGGGGTTACCTGTATTTATTTTGAATAATGTCATTGTAATCATTACTGAATACAGGTATGTGCTGCTTAATGATGAGGATACATTCTGAGAAATACATTGTTAAACAAATATCATAATGCATACTTAGACAAACCTGTATGGAATAATCTACTACTCATATAGGCTATTTAACTCATATAACACAATGATAAATATTTACTGGTATGTATCTAAACATAATAAAAGGTATGGGTGGTGTTGACATTGGCTGCTGTTCCCTAATATGGGCATACGAGTAGGGAATATTTTGGCAAAACAATAATGAAAAAATGTCAGACAGAGAAAACAGAAATCAGTGATGGCAAATGAAAAATTGGTGCTTGTGTTTTTATGTAAAATTTTGGGCAAATCAAACTCTTCTGCCTCTAACTAAACTGTATTCATATACCCATATTAAATGGCACACATCCATATTTAATTTAAATTATTGCATCTGTAAACAACTCAAAAGTTTTTGATTAAAAATATACTAAAAATATTGTGTATCCAATTATCTTAAAGAAAAGATAAATGCTTTGAAAACTTCATAAATTTTGTACGAATTATTGTTACAAATAAAATAATAATTAATTATTTTACAGGTAATTTCTGAAGAACATGACAATAGAAAAGTGAACTTAGAAGATATAGAAACTCCGAAGCATTTCCTTTTGAAACAGTTTGTGGACGACGACGTATTTGTAAATGTCGAAGATATTACAGTATGGGTGGATCCTTTAGATGCAACCAAAGAATATACTGGTTTAATTTTAATATGAAATATTTATCTACATCATAATATTTTGAATTAAAATTCCAAAATTTAATAATTTGCTTTTATTTTGACAGAAGATTTATTACAATATGTAACAACTATGGTTTGTGTTGCTGTCAAAGGCAAGCCCATGATTGGTGTTATTCACCAGCCTTTTACAAAAAATACAAGTAAGTTATTTGTTAAATTTAATTTAATACATTACATCTCTTGGAGTATGGTATAATTTTTTCTTGGACAGATATTTCCTTATGGCTTCCATATTATTATTTGACTCGGAAACAAAACTATACATTACATCACTCCAGCAAGTAAAATCTAACGAGCCAAAAAAGTTTTCAATCCAATTTAATGGATCTTAGTCAGTTTTCAAATGCAGAAATGAAATGAAACATACAAAATTTAAAGTTTAAAACATTCAAATACAAAACTGGAAGAAAATAGGAATGTTAATATTAAAGTAAGTAATAATAAATATCAAAATATTTAAAATAAGCTAGATTTTGTATAACAATTTCCATGCAGTGGACAACAAGTCTGCATCATGTTAATTAACATGCCACACCCCTCGTCTCTATTTTCTTTGTAAATTTCTAGGATTTCTAAGTCTCTTCAGGCTATTCATGTGTAGCAATCTTAGCACAATTTCAGATGACTTTCACATCAGGTTCATTAGCAAATACTGATGTTGCTCAGACCTTTATTCACTGACCCTGATTGTTTATTAATCCTGTTAGGGAGGTTTTGTCTGGTTGTGCTAATGTATTTCACTTCTTTGTTGAAACAGTAATCTTGTATGGTTGTAGAATAAACACAAATGGTGCTGGAAGGATCTTGTGGTAGTCTGTCATTACATAAAAGTTTAAAAACAGTATGGTTGAAAATTGAAGCTCAGATTGTTGTGGTTTGAAATTGCCTTAGTATCCTACATAAAGTAACAAAATGCATTAACATTACCCACTTTTTTTATAACGTCATTCTTCTTCCATTTTACATTTTTTAAAGGTATTTATTAAATTATTAACTGTGTTGTAGCACCACTTTGCTGATGCAACACAGTTCAATTAAGATGTCAAGCACATTGGTGCAATGTATATAAAGCTCTCCTTGTTAATGTCCTGAAGGTAACTTTATATGGAGGAGGTAGGTCAACAGACATATACAGAACAAAAATAGGATGATAGGTATGTTTCTGAAATATGCTAGTATGGATGTACAATATGTTTTGTATGTTTTACTTCATTTTTGTGTTTGACAACTGAAGAAGATCCATTAAACCGGATCAAAAACATTTTTGGCTCATTAAATTTCACATCCTGGAGTGATGTAAGGTGTAGTTTTGTTTCTGAGTTCTTTCTCCAATTTCTACTATTGTCTTTTATTATATTGATTGTTTCGTTTTTCTGATTTAACTGAGAAACTAGACTCTTAAACAATTTCAATGATATATTTTTTGCTATTATTTTATGATTAAACAGTTCTTTAGATTTGATAATGCATTTGATAGTGTTCTCCTGGTTCTCTTTTTTGCCAGATGCCCTACCCAGATGATATCTCTGGTCACTCGATTGATAAATTTCATGAATAGTATGAAATTTATTTATTATAATAAACAGTCTTATAATTTTTTTCAGCTTTAGAGGGTGTTATTTCAGTTCTTTGGGAATTGAAGAGCTATTATTCAAAAGTGACTATTACCGAAATAAATCTGATAACTTTTTCATTTTATTATTATTTGAGCAACATCACAACACTTGACACGACACGCTTTTGCTTTATTTTGACATTGGTAAGAGTGAAAGTGCCAAATAGACTGGGCAATTATTCAGTTTAAACTAAACCTTATCTTCCAATAAACAGCACACTTATTATTAGTGTGTGCTATCTATTGAAAGAAGACCAAACTAAGTGCTAGGCTGACAAGAGTTCACCATGCGATGTGCACTGAGGCATTATCTTGTTGGAATACCGTGTCTGGTGTGGCCAAATCACAGGCCCCATAATTTCTGTGATGTACTGGTTAACTATCAGATTACTGGAAATGTGCACCAGGGTTATCTGCTGATTGAACATGTCTCCTTAAACCATGATGCCCACTGTGGGGACAGTGTGACACTTGGCAAAAGAGGGCTGCTATATATATGTATCACAGGGAACACTATATACCGTGTTTCTCCGAAAATAAGACAGTGTCTTATATTAATTTTTGCTCTGAAAAATGCGCTAGGTCTTATTTTCTGCGGATGTCTTATTTTCGGGGAAACACGGTAGTACAGATTTCAGCCTCAATGCTTCAATGAAATTCAAATTTTTATTGCCATTTTTATAAAATTTTATAGAGCGAATGCGAAATAATTAAAATTTCTTGAAATTGTTTGGCGATACTTTTATTATTACTTATAATTTTATGATCTTCCTGAAGATATTCATCATTCTTTTCGTACTTATTTGATATTATTACGCTATTCAATTCTATTTTTTTATTAAAACGTTGAAATGTTTATTATATTTAACATATAGTCATTTACAAGACTGCGTAATTGTCTACTTAATTCTAATTTCTAAAACAGAGTTAAGTGATATAAAGAAATTGCTATGTGGTCACTTTAACAGTAATACATCTAAAATTACTATTTAATTTTAACAGTAATACATCTAAAATTACTCAAATTGATTTTAAAATGTTAACTGTCTCGTCATTGCAGTAATTTAATAAANCATGATGCCCACTGTGGGGACAGTGTGACACTTGGCAAAAGAGGGCTGCTATATATATGTATCACAGGGAACACTATATATATAGTGTTCTCTGTGATACATATATATAGCAGCCACACCTGTATCACAGGGAACACTATATATATAGTGTTCCCTGTGATACAGCCACACCTGTCCACAGCAATCATTCCTCCATAGACAGAAAAAGGATTCATCCATAAACAATACTTGATATCATTCAATGTCTAGTGCAATGTTATTTAAATTATGTTTCATGGAACCCTGGGGTTCCACAAAATGTCATAAGAATTCCATAAACATACATAAAATATTCATCAAAATGATGAAAATAATAAAAATAAAAAATAAAGCATTCTGAATTGACTGAACAAGCCTGCAGCATCTGTGGCTATATGCATTGGCTGCTACATTGATGCGTCACTAGTAGTCGAGTGGGGGTGTGGGGGAGCAGAACACTGCTTGAGTGTCAAACTATCATCGATGTACTGTACGTGTTTATTCGACAATCAGTCGCATATGAATGTGAATATTTGTGCCAGCTGCGAATAGTGGACATTTCGATTGTTTGAATAACCTTTCTAAGACTAATAATCTTAGTTTTGTCTTATGTAATCTGTTTTAATCAGGGCGCAATTTTAGTCTCCTTATTAGATACATTGTTTTAATATGGATACTTTAATAAAGAGTAGTTGAGTCATAAAAACTAGTGAATAATATTTGAGATGGGAGTTATAAATGAGAGAATGAAGTAAAGAGAACTGATCAGAGCAAATGCCGATTACTAGTTTGATGTTCTGCCAGCGTGATATCAGCTAATTCTGGCACTGATCCTTATTCTTTGTTGTTCACTTCTTACTGAATCGATATTAGTCTCAGTGGGGATTATTCTTTGGAGAATTTCTGCATACTTTTAATGCAAAAGTCTGCTATTGTAATGATTTAGTTGTCTAAATTGTTGCATGAATTATACTTAAATTAATATTTTAGTAATTTAGAAGATTGTGGAAGTAAAGAATCAGCCTGAAGCAGGACTCAAGCCCACAACTCCCACTTACCCTGTGCTCATGTTGCCAGTTACACTACCCAGACCTTTGTTTGATCCTCACTTTCAGAACCTTCTAAATTAATTATTAAAATACAGTAGAACCCCGGTTAACGAACGTCCTGGTTAACGACCAAATCGGTTAACGAACTTTTATTTTGCAAAAATTTTGTCTCGGATAACGAACGGTATTTTGTGTCAAATTTTAGTTGGTGTTAGGCATGCGCGAGTTAAGCATTGCTTTTCCAAGTGTTTGTGCTATAATTCTTTTTTCAGTTTTGTGATTTATATATTTAATCAATATGGCATCAAAGAAAGAAAAAAGTCATAGTGGCAATAGAAAACGACAACGCGCTATCACATTGAGAACGATTTTGCTTAAAAGAGTAAGACAATCAACTTTAGATCAATTTCTTGTTCCTTACGGAAAGAGTTTGTTTGTTTGTTAAGTTATGGCAACGCAACACTTAAGCGATCTGCCTAGGGGAATGCCTTCTGGGAGGTGTTTTTAAGGGAAACTGGCCCCTATTTAGGCGTTACAGACGTGGAGAAAACCTGGAAAACTCCATGTGGCCAGCTCATTTGAACGAGTTGCGAACCCACGAACGAACTCCCCCGTGTTCAAGGTACGAAGACCAATTAGCCACTGGTGGGGTTTTTTTTTTTACCGAAAGAGACTTCGACTGGAAGAATCTTCCAATGAAGTGCTACCCGTTATTTTTTGGAAGGGATTCCCCTTCTAAGCATTAAGGTTCGTACATCTCCACTTTTCTGCCACCAACTACAACAAACAAAGGTATGTACAGTGCTATTTTATTAAACAAAGTTTACATGTTTGTTGCTGTAACGATAGATACTACGTTTTCTTACATTTTCATCAAAGAAAATTACTGTATATTACAAATAAAATCACAAAAATTTCGGAGACTAGAACGGATTAATTGCATTTGCATTAATTTCTATGGGAAAAATTGCTTCGGTTAACGAACNTTCATATATATATATAACACTTAGAGGCGGGATCGGTCATGGAGTGGTGTTTAAATTTACGCGTGATGCTAGGATATTGGCAATATCCATTGTCAGTTATTGCCACATCACACGCAAATGGGTCTAACCCTCATTAACTGTGGTTTAGGACAAATCCATAGCGGACACGAAAAAGGCTCTTTAACCTTCCTGCTTTAGCCTGTAGACTAAGCCTGATTCTGTAAGAATCAGTTCACAGTGTAGTGCTACAACAGCAGAGTTCTATTATGTTTGCTGTCTTCCATTCCACTAAACATCAACCTAGAGATACACACTTGTCAGATGTTTCACGTTAACCACCAATTATAAACCGGTCAACGTTCTTGTCGATTCCAGCAATGGATAGTGTCTTCAAAACAGCACTGTCATCGGGCTATAAACTGGCCTTAAATGATCCAAAAATTACAAATTAACTTACCTTAGTAATAAAGTTTTGCAAATTGCTTTCCTTTTCGACCAGAGGCCTCGGCTGATTGTCGTGATAAGATTGCTTTTGTTGCTGAGAAATGATGTGAGTTCCCTGAATGCCCAATTTCTGGCCCACTTGAAAATACGGATAACGGAGCGACTGCAAGATAAACAAATCGTCGGAATCGTTTTTAATCGGTCGTGCCGTTGCACTTTCTGCATACCTGAATCGTGTTTGGTCTCTGAGCAGGATTCCATCTCAGCATGTCCTTCAACAGTATCAGACCTTCTTTGCTTATTTTCCGTATGATGTTACTCATTGGCATTTCCGAAAACTGGGGAAATCTGAAATTCATGGCCGTGGCCAACTGATATCCTTCTGGCCAATCTCTCTAAAGAAAAGTATGAAGAGTTAAAAAACTAATAATCCTTAAAAAAAAACATAAAACAAAATCTCACCTACCTTATCTGGTGTTCCAAGAACGGAACATATTCTGAATATTTGATCGATCTCGCTCCTTCCCGGAAAAAGCGGCTGTAGCGTATACAGTTCTGCCATTATGCAACCGACTGCCCAGATATCGATAGGAGAACTATAATTTGTTGACCTCAACAAAACTTCGGGAGCTCGATACCTTTAGAATTAACAATTCTTCATCAATCGTGCTGAAGTTTTTAATGCCAAAACATTTTAAATACAAAATTTTCCCTTACCATCTTGTGGATACGTAATCCGTATAAGGCGGCCGGGAACGGATCTCCCTTGCGAGACCGAAATCTGCGATCTTTACCAGATCCGGACCCATGCAGAGTACGTTTTCGGGTTTGATGTCTCGATGGAAGAAACCATGCTTGTGCATAAATGCCAAACCCTGAAGTATCTGATAGAGTATATTTCTAATGACTGGCTCTGCAAACGGCTTATCCCTGTCAATGTAAGCATTAATACGATTAAACAATTGCAACAGACTCTTTACATTTTGTTATGGGTGCATTTCGTGTATTACCTATCTTTGATAAGCTGATAGAGATTTTCCTTTAAATATTCAAAGACAAAGTATAAAGTATTGTCTTCACGAATTACTTCTTTTAATTTGACTAGATTCGCATGACTCAATTTTTGCAATGACTGAAAATAAAAGAAATCTCTGTTAATTTTAAAGGACAATTTGTTTAATGTGAAACAATGAATGGTGGACAAATACCTTTACTTCTCTTAAGTTCATACACTCGTCCCATGAATAATACTTCTTCTTCATTCTGTTGACGGAAACAAAAATTGGTAAGGTGCCATATCATTTAACTTGTGTTAAGATACATTTGTTTATCTAGCATATAAAGTAATGAGGCCATGCACGAAAACAGACAATATAGAAAACAATAAACATTGCCGACTTTAATTTATATGTTGTATAATGATTAAATTAAGTTTGTAGTCCTTAAAAGTGTTCTGTTGGGCACTTGATCTCCAAATTATTCAAGGATGTTGCTTACGAACTTGCTTGGCAGTCTTGCCATATGAGTTTCAATTGCATAATGTCAATACACGTGTTGTTAAGACAGGTTCTCGCTATGACAGAATCTGTTATGGTGAATGGCAAAGCCATGATATAGCAATTGCATACATCAAACTGTAGCAGAAGCGGAATGCATTTACAAGTTGAGTCGAGCTGGACTTTTACCATGACGACAAGAGGAAAAATTAAGTATCGACAAATGCAAAAGTGTCATTTATGTCAACATTGTGTCCGTTTCTATCGAGTTATCCGGCCTCCCAGAATGCACCACATACAGTGGCACATCACACCACTGAACGACACATCTAAAAGCCACTGCAAACTAGGCAATATTAAAGCAAACTGGTCGAAGGTGATGTCAAATGAAATTCGTTTGATCCGTCGCCCAGTTGACCATCAACTGCTCGATCGTCAACAGAATGCCATTTTACGTCATACCCTTTGACAGAAAGTAGAATACTATGATGTCTCTCGGATCCAAGAAGTTGGATTATTTGGGTGACAATGATTAACACTCGTGTGCATTCGAAAGTTTGTGAGAAAGGAGCATGCGCCATAGGCCAGAAAGAAGGCATATGTTTGTGCTGTGATCTTTGTCATGTTTCAACTATGTCTTCATTATGCTAGGATTATGAAACAAAGCTGTTTGAGATTTTTATAATGTAAGAATATAAATTATTTCATTGAAATTTATAAATCTATCGGGTCCCTCATTTTGTTTTCATTAATTTATTAAATTTTGCCAAACAGACAGCTAACAGGAGCAAACTGTCGTTCCATTTTATAAAACAAGCTAACGAGCAATAGTTCATAGAGGAGTAGACAAAATGTTCATTGGTTTTGTAGAACTATGCAGGAGTGATATCACAAGTGGCAACATTGCCCAATCGTTGAAAGAAAACAGCCATGTGACCATAAAAATTGTGTCTGATGTCTCGTCAAAAGCAATGACATTATCTAGTTTGTGGCGGCCTTAATGAGAATGTCGCCAGCCGTCGTAAGCGAGAACCGGCCGTTATAACTCAGATTTACAATTCCAAGTTCGGACTAATTAGAAATTGAAAGCATATTTTATTCCCAAACACAGAATATTAAAAACTATATGCAAATTAATAGCGACATACACTAGTGCAAACGAAACTGGCATTACCTTTTAATGGCAACCTTCTCTCCATTCGTCAGAGACTGCGCCAGAATGACGCTACCGTAGGTACCGTCACCTATCTGTTGCAGAAACTTGTAATGATTCATGACGATATCATGCAGGTCGGATAGTGCCGTACACGCAGTGCATAGAACGGATGCCGACGTGCATTGGGAAAGACAGTGCAATCACAACCTGAGGTGAAGTGCAGGAAGACAAGCAAAAGAAACAGCTTATATAAAAATTTAACTATATAATAATCTTTCAATCTACTTAACAATATTTTAAAAGCAAACTACTTCGAGCTTTTCTACTGTTTTTGGCCGCGCATCCGAGCCCAACAAGCAAAATTTACCAAAAAAATATTGTTTAATAGATTGCAAACAATCAATAAAATATAAAATTTTTGGACTAACGCTTTTACGAGACGAAATTGAAGATATTTTGTCGATGTCTGCTCTACTTTTGCAGAATTTTTGATTTTAATTTGCATTCTTACGAGCTCATTAGTCATAAAGGGTAATTTAACCGGCAACACAAACAGTAATTACACTCCGTCGACCGATCGCATTCGTTAAACATGTCACACGATAATTCTTTCCGATGCAAAATTATTCATCGTTTAATCAATAACGAATAATCGGCACGAATCGCCCGAGGATTTTTTTAGCCATAACCTAAATAGCTCGAGAGGTATCTTCAATTATCGTCTTGTAAATTTTTAAATGCAAACATTCGATCGCGTGGGGAAAAAGTCCAAAAACGTTTGCCTCACCTTTTGATGGCCACCTTCTCTCCGGTGTCCAGTCGCTGACCCAACACGACACTTCCGTAGGTTCCATCGCCCAATTGACTCAGTGTCACATAACGATTCATACCAGCCGCAGTCTCGCCAGCGTAATCAAGAGTGTCCGTTTCCACCATTGAAGTTATTTATAACGGCAAAACATAATTCTCTAAACAAAAAAAAAAAAATGAACAGGAGGGACGATTAAATAGTTTAAGCGCAAGAATCGTCTGACCCATTAGAAAGAGTCGTTCGTCATCATAAAGCACAAAGTTGGATGTTGTTCAATTGGAACTTTAACAAAATAGCAACGCACCTTCTTTTTTTATTTCTAATTGTGACAGAATTCAATGCTAAATATAGCATTATCGGGATAAAATTTTCATAAAGTAACAATAGACGTAACAACTCGTCACTCATTACCTTTATACATATTTATACAAAGGGTCATTAATGACGCTTGAGTTCCTTGCGCTCGATTCATAATTTCATTTCACTTATCGACATTTTAAATATTCGTTTTTGCACAACCAAAATTAATATAATATTTTTCATAAATAATAATAAAGCTTAGTTGCGCAATGCTTCACTTAACTCGTATCTAATTACATTTCCATGCCTTATCGTCCTTTAACGATAAATTAGATAACGGCAGAGCGATAAGAAGTAATTACAAAAGGTCGACAGTAGAATCGATAGTATCGATAACAACAGAGTATTTTGTATTTTAACACTCAAACCTTTGTATTTTCTTACCAAGCGGAAATATACTTTTTAGATCTTTGTATTTTATGTATGGTAATTCTTGCGTGGGACAAAAAGTGGAGCTTTGTTCCAAATTCGAAACGATGAACACTATTAAACATTTAAAAGTATTTAGATAGGAACAGTAAACAAAACAACAACCGAATGAGGCAGTAAAGGCCTTGGCTTACCACTCAGGGCACAGAATTTAATCCGAGAGAACCTAGATTTTTTCGGAAAACCCATTCTAGAGATATTGGGCCCACTCCTTTCCACCCTAATGTGAAAAAAGGCCGTCTCAATTCCCACAGGGCAGGGAACGCCACGTTAAGAATGTGCATTTAATTGCAATTTAAGTTAAGAAATGATCCGTGCTGCAAGATCACAAGATATGCAACAATTTAAATTACTTCGTATTATTTTTGAGACGGATTTGCATATCGTCATAGAAATTAGATATTAATCATCACGTAACTATGCACCGAACATTTCTGTGCATTTTTATAAGCAAACTGTACTTCGTTAAGTTCTAACAATTAGTAATTTCTATCATTTAACAACAAAATTTTACTCTCTCGTCATCTTTGTGGCGACACAAAGAATAATTGCAAACATCAAACACTAGATTGCAATTAAATGCTCCGAAAACGGATCATAATTATACTAATCTTAATATTATTGATTCATTGACACTAGCAATTCTGTTTTATACTTCAAATAATTTATCCGTCACATTTATCGGAGCCAAATTATTTAATTACAATAAACGAAATAGACAAACATCATTTACATTTTAACGACGTTAAACCGATGCCCCACAGAGCGGCAGTCGTCGACCCGGACCGTTCCGAGAGTCCTATCCTCGTCGGCGACTCGCCTACCGTGGACTTAGACAAATCTTTGGTAAGAAAGGAAGGGGCCCCCTAATCGACCGAATCCACTTCCGGGAAGGAAGAGGCCCGCTTTAAGAGCCAATCTGTCGAGGACGGGGAAAGAGTCCTTAAGCAAGTAAAGCCATCTCAACAAGCTAACTGCTGTCTACATAGAGAAAGATACCTTCTTAATGAGCAAAACCTGTGATGAGACCCTGTTAAGTCCATATTGAGGCAAGAAAAAAGGGCCTTCCCAAAGAATAAACCTAAAACCTATAACAAAGCAGGGAAAGGAGCCATCTTAACGAATTTAATCTATATTAAGGCCGGAAGAGAGGCCTTACCGCGAGACGGGAAAAGAGGCCCCGCCAACCAGGCAACGAAGACCCACTTACGATCCAAACCCGCAACCAGGAAACGTAATCGGACGCGGCAGGGCAGAGATAAAAAAAAATAGACAAAAACAATACCAAAACTTAACAAATACAGGCAGATTTTACGTCACACCAGCAAAATTTTTTTGCAAGAAAGCGATTAATTTCGACACGTGACACGCATTCGAACGTGAAGACGGGCGATTTAAATCGTGGTGGTAACAATATACTTTTATATTTAGGTTTGCGTGTTATGCCCGGTGATTGATATTTAATCAGTGGCCTCCCCTCCCGGGCATTAAATTTGCATACCTGTTGCTACGTCAAATATTCCAGTTTTTCAAAAATGCTAAATTCCATCGATCGTTCTTCCACTAACCGAATTTCTGCACCGGCCACTTCCGATCGTTCTCCCCATTTTTTTAAATTTTTTTCCAGTATTCCGCTTATTATTTAATTGGAAATTCGATTGGGTCGAAGTATTGCTTACCTCTTTTTCTGAATTCCTGCGATTGCGGCTATCCGGAATATAAAGGAAAATTGTTTTACCATGCATAAAAATACTCCTTGGTTACCATTTTGTCTACGTTTGTTTATCCCAGCAACCTGACGTCACCACGCACTTAGCGCCCTCTCGATTTTTTGGCGTTCGGTGAAAGTGTGACGTCATCGAATTCTTTTTTTTTTAAATATAATTTTCTTAACGGCTATGATGTATATTTTAAACATTTTTTTTATCTTAATAATTAAATTCGGGTAGTAAATTGTGTCGCAAANCATCAAAATGATGAAAATAATAAAAATAAAAAATAAAGCATTCTGAATTGACTGAACAAGCCTGCAGCATCTGTGGCTATATGCATTGGCTGCTACATTGATGCGTCACTAGTAGTCGAGTGGGGGTGTGGGGGAGCAGAACACTGCTTGAGTGTCAAACTATCATCGATGTACTGTACGTGTTTATTCGACAATCAGTCGCATATGAATGTGAATATTTGTGCCAGCTGCGAATAGTGGACATTTCGATTGTTTGAATAACCTTTCTAAGACTAATAATCTTAGTTTTGTCTTATGTAATCTGTTTTAATCAGGGCGCAATTTTAGTCTCCTTATTAGATACATTGTTTTAATATGGATACTTTAATAAAGAGTAGTTGAGTCATAAAAACTAGTGAATAATATTTGAGATGGGAGTTATAAATGAGAGAATGAAGTAAAGAGAACTGATCAGAGCAAATGCCGATTACTAGTTTGATGTTCTGCCAGCGTGATATCAGCTAATTCTGGCACTGATCCTTATTCTTTGTTGTTCACTTCTTACTGAATCGATATTAGTCTCAGTGGGGATTATTCTTTGGAGAATTTCTGCATACTTTTAATGCAAAAGTCTGCTATTGTAATGATTTAGTTGTCTAAATTGTTGCATGAATTATACTTAAATTAATATTTTAGTAATTTAGAAGATTGTGGAAGTAAAGAATCAGCCTGAAGCAGGACTCAAGCCCACAACTCCCACTTACCCTGTGCTCATGTTGCCAGTTACACTACCCAGACCTTTGTTTGATCCTCACTTTCAGAACCTTCTAAATTAATTATTAAAATACAGTAGAACCCCGGTTAACGAACGTCCTGGTTAACGACCAAATCGGTTAACGAACTTTTATTTTGCAAAAATTTTGTCTCGGATAACGAACGGTATTTTGTGTCAAATTTTAGTTGGTGTTAGGCATGCGCGAGTTAAGCATTGCTTTTCCAAGTGTTTGTGCTATAATTCTTTTTTCAGTTTTGTGATTTATATATTTAATCAATATGGCATCAAAGAAAGAAAAAAGTCATAGTGGCAATAGAAAACGACAACGCGCTATCACATTGAGAACGATTTTGCTTAAAAGAGTAAGACAATCAACTTTAGATCAATTTCTTGTTCCTTACGGAAAGAGTTTGTTTGTTTGTTAAGTTATGGCAACGCAACACTTAAGCGATCTGCCTAGGGGAATGCCTTCTGGGAGGTGTTTTTAAGGGAAACTGGCCCCTATTTAGGCGTTACAGACGTGGAGAAAACCTGGAAAACTCCATGTGGCCAGCTCATTTGAACGAGTTGCGAACCCACGAACGAACTCCCCCGTGTTCAAGGTACGAAGACCAATTAGCCACTGGTGGGGTTTTTTTTTTTACCGAAAGAGACTTCGACTGGAAGAATCTTCCAATGAAGTGCTACCCGTTATTTTTTGGAAGGGATTCCCCTTCTAAGCATTAAGGTTCTACATCTCCACTTTTCTGCCACCAACTACAACAAACAAAGGTAAGTACAGTGCTATTTTATTAAACAAAGTTTACATGTTTGTTGCTGTAACGATAGATACTGCGTTTTCTTACATTTTCATCAAAGAAAATTACTGTATATTACAAATA